ATCCGCATATAACACGTATTCTTCTAGAAACAGTCATCTCAAAAATGGTAAATTACGGAGCCGGAATTTGGGCACAACCAATGACAGTAAGAAAGATTAAATGTTTAAATTCAATTCAAAGGCCTTTTACTCTTTGCATTACTCGGGCGTATCGCACAACTTCAAATATAGCACTTGATACTCTAGCTGGTACTCTTCCGTTATCAATCAGTGCAGAAATGGAGTGCACCTATACGAAAGTTCTCCAACTTAACCAAGCCGCAGAATTCAACAAACAAACCTTTTGGCCATCCAACTATGAAAAAAGAAAATTAACCCCAATCTTATCCATCCAGCGCTTCGCTTCAGCAAAAAATAATATTCACCACGTCTGAAAAATTCAAGTTCATCTCCAATTGCTTATACTGATGGATCAAAAATTGAAGGAAAAGTTGGTTCCGCAGTCTTTTTTCAAATTACCCCCTCAAATATCATCAAATGGAAAGGCCATCTCCATAATAATAATAGTGTTTTCCAAGCGGAATTGTCAGCTATAAAAGCAGCGATTGAAATAGCCATTCTCAAAAATCTCAACGAATTTAGCATAAAATCTGACTCCCAAGCAGCTATTCTAGCTATTAAAAATCCCTTACCTTCTTCTCCATTGATATCCGACATAAATTCTCTTCTTGGAAAAATCCCAAACTACAAAATTCAAATCTCATGGATCAAAGGACATAGTGGCCATTTTGGTAATGATCAGGCAGATGAATTAGCCAAAGAAGCAGCAATTAATCAAGATGGTACTGAAATCATCATTCCGTGGCCTCGCTCGAATTTCAAGTACCAACTAAAACAACTTGCTTCAAAATCTTGGCAAGATTTGTGGAACAATGCTCCACAGGGAAGACGCACATATAACTTGATGCCCAATGTAAGCTTAGCATCTCTGAACTCGAATCCTTCCCTAAATTACTTTATAACAGGACATGGACCCTTCCCCACATATTTCTACGCAAGAAATTTGGCAAACTCTGACATCTGCATATGTGGGGAACAGGGAACTCCTGATCACTACGTTTTCTCATGCCCCTTAACTGAGGATATTCACATAAAATTCCCAAGAACTGACCTCCTGGCATTCCAAAGATTTTTAATTAAAGATAAACATCAATATCCAAAGTTTTCAGAAAATTATGCAACGACTCTCTTCCTACGGCGTAGATCTCTGTCAAGTGTAAATCCACATACAGTTTAAACTTAGTGAACTTTTACATGCTGTTGTAATTATGGACAAAAATGGATCCGCTCGTGAACTGAACTTTATAAACTGCAATAAACCAATATATCTGAAATAACCCATGGACATCTACCTCTTTGGCATTTTTATAACAATTCATTTAACATTGTGTTGCCAGTACTAATTATAATTATCTCATTATGTTTATTTGTTTATTAATTATGTTTATCTCCTATTTTGTTGCACCAAATCAGATGTTCAATTTATCTTGTGAATCTCAAATTGTATTCCTACTATTTTGTAATCTACTTATGCCCTACACCATTATTTTTAATAAATACTGGATGCGGGGCGTACTGTGGAATTGCACGATGTACCATAATAGGCAAACTTTAGACCTTTTGAAAAGCTTCAGTTTATGCAAATTCTTATAAAACTTGCAATTACCCCCCCTTTTTTTTTTTTCTCAAAGAGTTAGTATGGGAAGGCATTACCAGTTGACCTATGGTACATCGCTGGTGTCCCCCATACTTTTACCTTTACCTTTACCTTTAATGTAACTGCAAAATTTCACATGATTCTTGTAAGGAAATCTGAATGATTTCTTATATTTGTTTGTATGATTTTTCAATCTGTGCTTATCAGACAAAAAACAGTCAATTTGATGATTGGATAAATCACCTGCATAATAAATCAAGAATATTTAGAAGTATAGTCTTTAGGTAATCGAAAGAATTTCAGCGACGTCAAGTTTATGGATATTTCACGTATCCTTAATCAAAAGTCAAAAGTCAACTATTCTTATGGGACACACTCTATAGTGAGCATTTTAAACTGCGATCTGTTAAACGAACTGAATTGCTGTAATACATAAAATACTGTTGTTTTGCGATCAAGTAATGAATTTGTTTGTTGTAAGATGCAGAAATAAGAATCGCTATATTTTCTTTAAATTATTAATAATTAAGGCTTAGAATTAATTATAGATTAGTTTTAGAATTAATAATTAAGCCTTAGAAGAAGCACTCATGACTCTCAGTTTGTTTCTTAGTATTAAGGGGCTTAAAATACTGAATCAATCAATATCTGAGTATTTATTTATTTACATTTACCTCTTGGGAATCCTGTATGTAAGATGCTGCCACCAGGCTGAGGGCAGCCTCCCAACATGGAAGGGGGGTATCATTATCTGATGAACACGACGCATGCGCACTTTAGTCGTACGCCGTGCGTTTTCACCCAGGACTTGGATGAGACTGTTTTTAATATGCAGGTAAGAATGAACTTCTTACTTCCATGTTTTTAACCCTGGTTTTCACTTGTCTCTCATGTGACACGGAGTTGAGATTATAGAACAAGAAGAGAATGTCCCGTTAATATATGCTAAGGTGTACGCCAACGCAAATATTATGTTTTAACTTTATATAAGGCCTACCAGCGGCCGAGCTGTAAAGTCGCTGAACACTGGGAGTTCGGTCCGAGGTTCGAATCCCGCGAACGGGCTGGCTGCATGGGCGCTTTCGTGGTTTTCCCCATGTGTAACGTGTGTACCAGCCAGTTTCCCTTAGAAAGTCTTCCACATCAAGGCATCCCTCCTCCTTAGGCAGATAGCCGTAGTGTGCTTTGCCGTAATTAAATAAACCAAACTAACTTTATGTAAATTATACCTATTTATTTTGCTCGTGTTATAATAAAGTATTTGTCCGATAGCGACTACTTATGCTTATGTAAATGCCCTCATCAGGTCAAGTCTATGTTAAATATATCTAAATCTCACGACGAATGTATCACAGGGGGCAAGAGCAGTTACTTGGTGGTAAATCTTAACATCTACTCGTTAAGCTTAACTCGGTAGTGGGTTTTCTGTTTTGGTGATGCTCGTAATGGGGTCATCTTGATGGAACAAGTTAGGGGGGAGTATTACAATCGGTGATAAGGCTACTAATGTCATGGGATCGGATAATTCCAAGCCTATGTATGTAAAGTGTCAATAAAATATTCTCAGAAACGGAATTTTTTTATTTATCAAAAGAAAACAATTTGAAGAATATTTTACACATTAATTGAGGATTAACGAGTTTCACGTTATTTATAAAGATCAGCTGGCATGCTTCTGAATATTTTTATGTTTCAGAGTTGGAGTTTATTACAACCGTGTTTCAAACTACTGAAATTAAATGATATTATTTCCTTGGCTACCATCAGAACTTCGCTTCCGCATTTCTCCTCGATTTCTTCAATACTACATTGTATATAATCTTTAACAGTCCTAGAAACACAAGAAAGCTTTCAGATATAGCATCAGAAAATTATTTACTATGCATTTTTTCATAATGGTTAATTTTAAGCAATGGAATGCTTCAGTTTTACTTATAATTAATTTGAACCCACTTAAAATGATTTGTTTATATATTCTTGAAACTGATGAAATAAAAGCACTCAAAATTTGATCTTAATAAACAGCAAATTTTAACTTATTGATTTAATTCAAATTAAAAGGGTGTATTTTGAGGAACAAACCTCATTGTCTTAGTAATTTAAGAGGAAGTTATTAAAATTTTAAATTTAATTTTTAAAGCAGCCTTCATGAACTGCTTTAAAACGATTGTAACGAATAATTAATTGAAAGTTATCGACAAATTGTTGTGCTAGAAAACATTAAATTTGAAACCATAAATTACACAAATTCAATAATATATTTAGTTTTGAATGGTACAGAATCAATTAAAATTTGATAGGAGCATGATCGAAAGTTTATCATCAATTCATGTATACTGTATCCATAAAATTTATTATCTGGCATTTTTATGATGTTAAAAATTTAAAACACAAATTTTATAAAATTCGTAAAATTTATAAATTTCGTATGTTCAGTCCATATAATTATATTTAATAAAGTTCATATTCATTGCAGAAAATGAAACACAAAATGTTTGAATCCTGTACAACAAAATTTGATCAAATATTTCATTTAAAATTTCAGGATTTTACCATCTTCTTCAACTTATCATAAAGGATCGCTTAAAAATAAAGTAAAACATCTCGACGTTGATTTCATTTTACGTAAGTGTCTTAAAATAATAAATTTTGGGTAATATAGTGTAGCATTCTTCACTGATAACTCTACCGTGCTTGGAACTCCGAAATAATTTTCACACTAAAAATATTTTATAAATATTCCCATGAAGATTTGTTACCTAAGAATCGTTATCTAATAATCATATAAAATTAATTAAATTAAAAATGCTTTTCATTTATAATTTATATGAATAATGTTACGAATTTGGTATTTCTTTGTCACTGTTACGAGTATGGAAACTGCACTGTTCACGAGACTGTCACACTGCACTGTCACACTAATTCTAATAATAACTGCACTGTCACACTAATTCACGAGAATTGTAATTTTGTGCTGTAAATGTGTAGACGTTAAAGCACAAATGATGTTAGGCTGTAACGCTTGTGGAACATGAGTGTTAATAGGAGTGCTGTTAAATTTCTAGAGCACGAGTGTTCTGTAGTAGGGAGTTAGGTATTCTTCTGGAAAAATGATATAGTGATCAAAATTTTTCAGGACACTGCGAACAGGAATGCTCAGCGCTAAACTGTTAGAATGTAATTTTTTGTTCCGTACATTTGCAAACATTTCACTTTTCAGTTTGAATAATAGTTATGAACATGATCTAAAATTAAGTTAGAAATTTTGTCACAGCAAAGGCAAATATTTGTGCCTTATTTTTATAATGAGCATGAGTTTTAATTATATATAACTATAGGCACTGGGAAGTGTACAAAAGTTGAATTTTATAATTTTTACAAAATTTTTACAAATTTTTACAAAATTTAAAATTTTTTAAAAATTTAAATCCAGCATAATAAGAATATTTTGTAATTGGAAGAATATGTTTACAAGACTACAATAGAGTTTTATGGAACTGGATACAAATATACAGACAATACTAAAATACAAATTTTTGGAAATGGAAGTATGTGCGTACTGTCCTTGGTCGCGAAAATAAAAGCCGTAAAGGACTTTTCTGGGCACATATGCTCATTGCTCATGCAGCAAGTGAAGGATCAACCCTGGAAATAATTAAATTTAGTTATTTGTTTATTTTTTGATAACATGTAAAGTTTATCTTAATTTAGAAATTAAAAATTGAAAGAGAAATATTTTGGGCTGTTATGACCAAAATTTTTGCCCTAAGTATTTTTTGCATCTGAAGAAGAGAAATTTGTGCTTCATGGTCCTTGAAACTGATACAAAATTTATTCAAAATCTATATAAAATAAAGTTTATTTTTTTGTCTTAATTTTAAATTACACTAACGTATTTCTGTTCCGTTTGATTATTATAAAAAAAGAAGTGTACAGTAACTGATATGTTTGCTATCAGTTGCTATAACAAGCGATAGATGGCAGCACCGAACATTATTACCGTTGCAACAGTATCTGCTTCGGAAAATCAGGCATTTCACTCCTTTGCTGAAATATTGCTCAATATTCCATACCTTAGGTTAATATTTGTTTATTTCCTAGTGCAATTAACGAGACACCAAAATATGTGACTGAGGAGACATAAAAGAGTGATTTTGTAAGCGTGATGGATTCCCTATCCATGAATATATAAATACTAAATGAATATATAAATAATAAATTAATGGAATAAATGACTCCATTAAAATCATACGATACACTAGATACCGAAGAGATTGAAAATAATAGTGAGTTTGAGAAAGTATATTATTTCTTTTCCTGACATTCTGACTGACTTTTCTAATATAAAACGTTAAAATATATGCATTCTTTTGTCAGTCAATGTTATAAAAACCAATAATGATAAGATTAATTTTTTTTATCTAATATTCATTTTGCTACATTTCTTTTCTCTGACAAAGCAGTGTTTTCATAACAAGCTTATAAATTCGCCTGCTAAATTAAAAAAAAGTTTTATTATCAAAGAAAAAATGTGAAAAGACTCACATCAAAGGCTTTGTTAAGGTTTAAAAACACCCGATGCTCTCGTTAAGATCGCAGTATATCTGTCTGTTCTTGGACTCACTCCTGGTAACACACTTTTGTCCTTTTAATTTTATTATAAAATACACTTTCTTCGCACTCACGCTACATAAATTTCAACAACAAAATTACAAAATGTTTAAAAACGGCGTCATCTATTACAAAGAAAAATTGTGCATGCTGTTTTCATTGTTCACGTTCACAGGTTGTTATGTATTAGTAGTGCAGGTTAACTGCTCTAGTGGTAACGGGAGCAGTAACGAATAAGTGTTGCTCAATACAGAAACATGCTCCGTTCCAACGGATGATAACAACTATGTTGTAGATTGTCGACAGGCTATCTGCTGTCTACCTTCGAGAATTTTTTCCTTCTCACATCGTTGTACAAAGTAAAGAAAGTATTATAATCGCGAAGAATTACGGGTATCATATTTAAACTGAAATACCCATTTTAACCATTCCCGAATCCATTTTATTTTTTGAGTGACGTCTGTACTTACGGACAGAATAAAGGGCTCTTTTTTCCAAAACGGGTCATAAAACGGATTTAAAATGGATTCAAAAGGGATTTTTTTTCTTGAAATTCAAATAATATCTCACGTAATTCAAAAATGTTTTACTGTAGAATGTTGAAATTTTGTATATGAAACCTAAATATCCAGTGGTACACCTCCCTTTTGTCTTGCCATCGGCAGTACCAAACGTCGTATACACATTTGACACATTTGTTCCCCGTTACCCGGCTTAAAAGTCCTTATAAGGCCTTTATTTTCGCAATAGCTGGCTATTGACATATAGTTCCTGTTACAGTGAAAATATTTATGGTTTGACAATACCACATTTAGAAAACATTAATTTTGGTCAAAAAACGAAATCTGACTTTAAATGCAGTTTTCCGGTTCCAAAACGTACATTTGGGAATTTTATACTCGTTATGAAAAATTTAAAAAAAAAGTTTTATTCCGGAGGGAAAAAATTGACAGAGATATTTAATTTCAAAATTTTCAGTTTTTGATGTCATTGTCAGCTTGCCTTGAGGGATCGATTACCTAAGTTAGAATAATTGGAGGAAATAAATTTAAATGAAGTGCAGCAAAAAAATGTATATAATTTAATAAGCAGTGAAGGACGTCAAACGATATCCACATCAGATTTTTTAATATAGTATGTTGCCATATATGCATTTGTATTTAACATGATGTTAAAACAATGTGCAGTGTTCTAATTATAATGTAGTACGATAAAAAGATGGGAGTATGTTATCGTATGCCACTCTAGCACTTTTTTAGTTTACTATAAGCGCGTTAGCTTTAGGTAATTAAAAACGATATTTTAGCAATATAATTTGTGTGTGGCAGTAGTACTTAATTTCAGTTTATTTTTGTCCCAAAAAAATATTCTTTACGTATTATGCGGTATTCTCTCCACTTGCTTGGTAGCTTTTACATGCTATAAATTAAACCATCTTTATTTGAGAATCTTATTTTGAGAATTTTATTTGAGAATTTTGAATGTAGTGTTTCTATGCTAAACAAATTCTTTATTAAAGCCTTACGGAGCCTGATCTCAAAGGTCAGTTTAATAGCAGAAAATTCGACGAATTTTCGTTTGCATATTACATCCACATTCATAGACATTTAACACTAGACCCAGACGAAAATATTCATATTTTGGCAATTTAAAATTAAAAAAAACTTATTTTTGACAAATAGTGAAATCTAACTTTTAATGCGGTCTCTCGCTTCGTGTCCTTATATTTAGTAAAATTTTGTACTCGTTATGAAAAAATAAAATTATAAAAAGTTTACCTCCCGTACGATAATAGGTAACCGGAATATTAATTTCAAAATTTGCAATGTTTGATGTCATTTTCAGCTTGCCTTGAGGGATCGATGTAATTTTTTTTCATACAGAATTATTATTTTAATTCCTTTATAGATTGTAATGTGGCATTATTTTTCATATATCATGGAATGTTTTAACGCAGTTCAAAGAGGCCACTTACGTAAAGAACGTAGACCTTTATAAGTGACTGCTGGAGCATTCCTTAACGCCTGGCTAATTAACACATCGGTCAGCTAAAGTGAGTATGCCTGTTAGATGGATATGTTTGCATATGAAGAAGCAGTGTAGTGTTCGAGTTTTGTGTAATATAAAGAATTATAAATGAAAGACAACAAAAAACAATAATTTCAATAAGAATATCACGGTAGTTTTTACGTGAAAATATATGATTTAAAACGCAGTCAAGATGCTATTTCTCTTCGTTTGCTACTAAACAAGCCATTATCTAAAATGTGGTACTCTATATAAAATTGTGGGATGCGTATTAAGCCCATGATGATGTGTGATGAAGAATATGTTTTTGATAATTAGTTCGTATCCATAAATAAAGGTTTTATACTTAATTCGGTCACGTCTGTCTATAAGTCCGTGTATCGAGTGTCTTTCAAACTACGCAGTGAAGTCTTAGGATATAACGCAGAGAATCATTATCTGTCTGTTGCAGCTTACTCAAAATCATCTTATAACACACATACACACACATATATATATAATATTTTCTATACTTAGGAGGAATCCGGTACTTTTTAAAAGCTCTCGATATCCGTCATGAAGCTCTCGATATCGTCCACATATAATTTTTGATGAAGATAACAAAACTGGAGTTCGACAAATCACCAATCTTCATTTTTGCACGTATCAAAAAATTATCCTTTTGCAGACAAGATATTTTTCAGTCATAATGAGAACGTAATAATTTTCATGTACACGAGTTTTAAAAGTACGACGTAAGCATTTTGGACAAGACAAGCGTAAGCGGCGCAGAGTTGTTTGAAGGGTAGAAGCTAGGAAAAAGAATGACGTAGATGTTTTGCAAAGAGTATTTATACCTAGTAGCTGCAGAAAGTATTCGAAGCTGTGATTGGTTAATTTTTAGTTACTTTTTTCAAGAAGCGTTATGTAACATGGAAAGATATCGAATTTGGGAGAATGGATGAATTAAGGAGGAGAGCATAAAATCTAGAATCGTTAATTTTCAGGTCTCCACTTATTTCTTAAAGGAGCCGTCGTACTTCGATATATGTTACATATATATATATGCTGGGAAATTACTTAATTACGAAAGTGATAAAATGCATGTATTTAATATCAATTAACAAACGAAAACCGCAAATTATATAAAAACAATTTGAAGCAAAAACTTGGAAAACGATTATGAAATAATAGCAAAGTAATTCAGAAATATAACTAAGTAGTGGAATATAACTATCGTTATATTCCACTACTACAGAGGATTCAGAAATATAACTATCGTTATAATTAATTGGTCTTTTCGAAGGGGTAGTTGAAAACATCATCAACAGAGCGACGTGTCTGAATTACATATGGCTAAAAATATTTTTGGCCATTTATTTTATAATCTGCCAGTATTTGAAATTTAAAATTTAAAACTTTTGTCCATTTTTTTTTTTTTTAATTTAAAGGGAAGTATTTGTTTTTATTTTTACTCCAACAGCATTGCTGTTACTGGTCTTGTGTCATTACAGAAATACAACCGCTCAACTTTTGTTTTGTTTTCTCATTTAATATCTTCGTTTATAGTTCTAAATGTTAATTATAGGTTCTTGTTCAAATTTCAGTTTGGAAATTGAATGAATTTCAGAAAATTGTTTCTTTCTTTCTTTTATACAATTGTTTTGTTTTATCATTTAAATACTTTTTTGTATTTGAAAAAAAAAATATGAGTATATTTTTAGGCGTAACTTTATCCGTAGTATAGAATAGTAATCGATACAAGAGAATAAAAAATATTTAATTCATATGATATTATTTCCATTTATTAATTATTCTTAAATATATAACATGGTGCAGGTACTAAATAGCTTTGCAGATATCGGGAATATGCTGATATGTGAAAGGAAGTGTTTACGTTACGTAGATCGAAATTTAAATTCTTCGAGTCTGTTAAGTGCAACGTTTATTTTCAAGTGAAGTGGCAAATAAGTACTTAATTTAGATTATGTAAATTAGCCGCCCCGAAAACAAAGTGGTTAGTGACTTTGACTGTCGTACTGAAGGGTCCGATTTCGAATCCCAGAGAAGGCATGGATGTAATTTGTCAGTCCATTCGTAGTAGGCAACGGTAGCTCATCATGTAGGTGTCTCCAGAATAAAGAGACCACCACTTCTGACTTTAGTGGTGGCCATTATCTTTAAAACGGTCATGGAGAGAATAAGAGTTTATGTAAAGTTTTAAATTAAACAAGGATGGGTTAAAGCCACCAAAACGCTTTACGTTTTGAATAAGTTATAATCGAAGAATAACGTAAACAAAAAATTTGAGATTTATATGTAGCATCAGGTGGTAATACTAAATCGCCGGAAACGAAAGTAGATATAAGACTTCATTATATTGGTGAAGAAATATTAGAGAATTTTAGTATTTTATTAATTATTGTAATATTAGAGAATTTTTTTAAATGAAAAACATAAAAAAAAGTGTTTTATGAAGCTTTTGAAAATTGCTTCCTATGGAAATCAAATGAAAGTGCTTTCGGTACGAAGACATATATTTTTTCTCAAAACGCAACAAGCTAGTGAATTTTTTCATGAAGTCTTAATGAAATACATAATTAAGGAGCAATTGTGAATTTTTAGAGTTAATAGACAGTTCATTTCAAGATAGCTTTGTGTAGATATGTGGAATAAATTTTTTTTTATTTGTTTAAAAAGAATCCAGAAAATTGCAAAAAATATCAAATTTCATTCATTTGTTGTTCAGTTGTATCCAGAAAATAAATTTATATAATTTCATGTGTGAACTTTATTTAAAAAAATATCCTATCTATTTTTCAATAAATTGTCGCCAGAGTTTTCACTTTTTTCTCAGTTCATCCTATTATCCTATTATGACTTTTGAATAACAATAACGAAATAATAAAGGTAGTTTTAAAAAATTCTGAATCTTTTTTCAAAAAACGCAAAATTTAAATTTCGTTTAAATCTTTAAATATTGAATAATTTTCATTTTTTCTTTTTCGCCTCGATTTTACACGAATAATTTGTAAGCGTTTAGGATCTGAGTTCCGATTTGAGGACATTTAAAATTCATTCCATGTCTTGTTTTAACTCGTCGAGTATCATTTCAGCTTATAATTTAATAATATGCAAAGGTGTTCTCTATTTGCTTACTATTTTCCAAGCAAGAAACGTCAGACAGAAATTTATCTAAAACATTAGCCATGGCTTCTGAAATAAGTGTCATCAAACCTTTCCATTGGACATAGCTTGAAAGGGCAAACCCCAAAGCTCATTGACATCGGCACATTATTTACTGCTTAGAGAAAATGATTTCGTTTTTGACCGAACTCCTTAAATGGATTACTGGGGTCTGTTATGATATCGATGGATTTGTTCGCGTTATTGCAAATAAGACATATTATTCGGCATTTAAAAGGCCTGCAATACAGGTTTCACTTTTATGTGTGTATCACTACTAAAGCACTTGATGGTAATTTCAATTTCACCAATAGAAAGCGCCGTAGCGCTGATAAGACACATAAATTGGATTAGATCCTCATAAATCCAATTGCATTTAAATACTAGGCGTATCATAAATATACTGTATATTCTTACAATCAGTATTATTCGATTTATTAAAATATATTTCTTTTCCTTTATACGCCTTGTCCCTGTGTTTGCAAGCACATTTCCAGCGACACGAATATGCAATATTTTTATAAATGTAATTATTTAAATTACTGAATCATACGTACAAACAGAATTCCTGGGTAAAATCTTTTAAGGATCCAGGAAAGCGAGGTATGTCTCCGCATTTGTCACCCCGATGTTCATTCTGCTCATTTAGACACCTGGCACTTTCTAAGAACGCTGAAATATAAGTTAGCAAATTAGAATAATGTCCACATACAAATACGCACATGCACATACTGGATATATTAATACATCGTATTCAGGAAAAGTCACCGGATATTTTGGATTTTAGACACTTCTTGAAATTTCTAGAGAAGTGCCTGACGAACTGTTGTGTAATTGCCGCCATAGTAGTAATATGTCTGTATTCGCTCTTTTGATGGAAATTTCAGTCAGAAGTGCAGTTACAGAACACACAAAAAAATTTTTAAGAAAAATTACTTTTGATCGCTGAGCATCACAAAACTCTGCAATCTGTAACTTACATTAAATATGTTACATATTGTTTGATACGTTTGTACACATTTTCGTAAAAATACACATTAACGAAAATATGAAGTTTCCTTTTAAACCGTCCAATGTTTTTGTTTATAACAAGCAGAATTTTCACCCATATTTAAGGAAACTTACAGAAAACTTTAAAATGTTCAAGACAAACATTAAACGGAATTCTGAAATGAAAACCCGTAACTATTCGATTTAATAGGCAAGTATGTTGGGAAATTTACATAAAACCTCTTAGTGATGCCAACTCAGAAATTTATCAATGATATTATCAGGGTTACTGCAGTTATGTTTTAGAAATTAAGTATCCTTAGTTTCTATAGATGATAAGGAGGGTGGAGTCATTAAAGGTTTTGATGCAGGAGACGTGAAAAAGGAGCAATGGCTGCCACCGACTCGAACCTGGACCTCTCGAATACGTGCCTAGTGTGCTACCGTTACACCACAAAGGCATGCTGGGAAGAGAGAAAACATAACTTATAAGGGACTTTCCATAAATTTGTCATTTTCTTAATTTAACATTTGTTCGTTTTCGCTTGAATCATGTATTTTTATGTTCAAACACTTTTTTTGGGGGGTCATTTGCATAGCATGAGATTTATAGCACATATTTGCCTAAGAGTGGACTAATTCACTTATAGAACAGACATATCCGATCAAATAAGAAAATTTCGTTTTCTTGGAAAATTTCTAATCTTATCACCCAGTTAATTTTCAGAAAATTAACTACTGTATAGCTTGTTATATTAACGACAGTCTTCTGAATTCGCAGAGCATTAACCTGAAATATTTATATAAGTTGCTTTAGTATATTCTTGCTTACTAAATTATGATATAAAAAGTGATGCATTTCGCATATTCCTAGTTAAAATTTATTTTCGCTGCTTACCAATTTGTAGTGAACCATTTTAGTTCAGAAAACGTGGCGCTGCAAACATTTCTTCAACTCTCTCCTTCTCTCCTACTAGGTCAGTCAACTAAGCCGTTGGCGCAACTGTGCCTTATCTTGCTAGCACTTGTCTTATGTTAAGAATGTCTTGTTTTATATTGTAAACAATTGTTTATAAAAATAGATTAGCGTTCATCTCATCACAACTCATCTACATCATGACTACAATATATTATTTTTCCATCAACCATTTAGGCTCGCAAAACGTGTCGCCATACAATACGACAATACGATACCAATAATGCATAAGTTGATGTCGCAAACACACACATAAAATATTCGATTTGGTTTCATGTAATTCCCATTAATTCCCGATAATCCAGTTTCGTTTCTGTGAAGAGGGGTACTAATCAACTGTTATTTATCTGTTTTTCACTTGCATTTTGAGAAAATGATTAAACCAGTACCAGTAACGACATTGATTTAACGACAATAGAAGAGAAAGCCGCGAAACATTTTCAAAAATAACGTGATCACACCATCATACTCAAAAACATCAAAGACTCTGGGATGCGAGACTATTTTTAGACTTAAAGATTTTCAGTTACCGGAATGATTGGCCCAAGTTTAATGAATTTGTTTGCAAATAAGACAATAAAAAAGTGTAAATGCTCATTTATTTACTTTCTTTTATATGATTTATCAGTATTTCGTATACGCCGACTATATAGCTAAAAAATGAGTGAAGTACGATTATTGAACTAGTAAATTAAAGAGCCATATGTTCCTTTAAATTTCCGCCTGAAAAGCTTTACTAGATCATTTCCTATTTGATGATTCTTGTGCTACGAATTAGAAAACTTCTATTATTCTTCTTCTCCAAATTTCCTTACCGAAATTCTCTGCTTTGGTCGAGGAGTGGAGTAGTTTCAAAATTGCATTTAATAATCTAATATCTAAAAATCTTTATTAACAGACTCTCAAAAATATTTTTGCGCTACCCTACATTAAAAATGCAACACCAAGGAGGACTGGCCCAAAACTTATGCTAATTTCGGGATAGGAGCACGTCCCTGGGTTATGCGAATGATGTGAAATGCGCAGCTCTCCAGAGCACGTTGAAGAAAATATAAGGGAAGGGAACCTGCAGGATGTTAAATTTTCGTGCCGTTATTTTTACTAAAGAAATCATCTTATAAAACTTATTGTCTCAGAGGACGCGTATAATAGCAGATAATGTCAGGCCGTCGTCAACGGAGGCAGTTAACGCAGGCAGACGATTTTTCGAGAGGCATGGTGATCGGACGGAAAGGACAGGTTGGTCCATACTAGAAATATCAGTTGACGCACACACCTGGACGCATCCACAGTGCACCGGCTGCTGCGAGGATGGTTGTAATAAAGAAGTGTGGTAAGTTCGAGGGGTGACGGGGCAGCCAGAGTGACGTCACCACGCGTGGATGAACGCATCCGCCGACAAGAGGTGGCGCACCCGTAAGCCATTTCTATCTCCATTTTGCAGCATGTTTAAGACACCCTATATGTTATGTTCCCATATCCGTCCAGAACTATTTGCCATCGATTGGTGGCTAGTGCAATGTACTCATCCCGTCCGTTAAGACTTCCATTCACCCCCACATCATAGACGGCAGTGTCTACAATGGTGCTGAGCTCAAGCGATGTGAACGACGGAACGGCACAAGGTCGTATTCCCAGATGAGTCAGGCTTCTGTTTCTCCAATGATAGTCACCGCGTACGATTGTGGCGTCGATGTGGAGACATGTCTAATACGGTAGCAACTGTGGAACGCTCCACCTCGCGACAACGCGGCAGCGTGGTTTAGGGTGGAACGATTCCAGGTCATCTCTATTTCGTATTCAGGGCACTATAATGGCCCAACGATACTTGGGTGATGTGCTGTGGCCGGTGACACTCCCTATCTTCAAGAAGTGCCCAGCGTTCTTTATCAGCAGAATAACGACCGATCACACACTGCTCGCATCAGCAAACGTGCTCACCAAGGTGTACAGATGCTTCTCTGGTCACTGTTCTCTCCTTATCTCTCACTAATCGAACGCATTGGTGATGTGATTGGACGCCATTTGCAGAACCTGCTACTGCTGTGTTCAGAAGAAGAATTGTAACAATTGGCTGTTACAATTGTAACAATTGGCTGACAATACAATTGTAACAATTGTAACAATTGGCTGACAGGGAATGGAGAATTATTCCTCAGAACACCATCCGTAGTCTAATTGACTCTTTATCTAGACATGTTGCTTCGTGTATCGGCTTCCAACAGCAACCTACTCAGCTCAGTAGGTCAGGACTCAGATTCTACAACCTACTCAGCCGACGCAGTTCTCACTCTGTATAATCCATTTCATTTTGAAATAAAGATTACGTATTATTCGTTGCTGCCTCTCTCTGTTTGCCGAGTTTCATCACTTTCTGGCCACTCCTTCAAGGTGTTGCATTTTCAATGTCGGGTAGTCGCTGTGCTCCGAGGCCAGAAAAGGTAATTCAAACCTCGGAAGACAAGTGTAAGTCATTATTTAAAGCATTAAAAGACCGTTGCGAGAACAAACAAATAATCGTAGACTCACATCATCAGAATATTATAAACTATCCCAAACTTTATCAAAAGCCTGCTAAAAAATTTCAAAAAATGCTAGATCCTGTAAAAAGAATATACAGGCATTGAAATTAGTAGATTTTGATTGTGATATACTCTCGAATATGTCCTTAATAAATGTTATCATTAAGAAACTTGATAGAGGGTCTAGAAAACAATTTGAAATGACTTTCATGACGAATAAGATTCTAGAATTTGACTCATATGTGAAATTTATTGGAAAATGAAGTCAGATATAGAAAGCTTATTGCTAAATATAACGTTTAAAGCTGTAACCAAATTTGCAAGCTCGGTAAATTCATCTTATCGATCAAAAAGTCTTGTAATTAGTTCGAACAACGTTTCAAAAACTTCTTGTATCGTGCGCAAAAAACGCCCACCATATACAAATGTTCATTCGAGAGGTTTGTGGTTCGAGTCTCTGCAAGAGCATTGATCATGTTTCATCTCGCCTGCTTTGGAATAACCTGATGTCTCTACAGTGGCGCCCGAACTAAAAAAAGTGGTGGACGATGATTCTCCGCCACCAGGATTTGGCGGTTGGGTCCCCTAATCCCTAGTCGCCCTTTAAAGGGGGGTACATAAGGTATTTCTCGCGTCTTCTTAGAATGCCTTCGTAGTATAGTGGTCAGCACTCTCGGCGCGTATTCGAAAGGTCCGTGATTCGAGTTTCGGCGAGGGCATTTTTATTCTCTCCTGCTTTGAAATAACCTAATGCCTCTACAAATGTTTTAATAATATAACTTCCATATAAAAGACAAATAAGCTTTTTGTTGATTTTACGTTTGCTGCATTTACTTTGAGTTACTTTATAGTAAATTCAACGGAAAAAACGACAGATAATTTCCCTTTTTACAGAAAAATTGTATGTATGAGACGAACTGCATTTACCATTTTGTAGGTGGCTCGAGGTTTAGAATATTACAAATAGGAATTGTACCCATGTTAGCTACTATCCATTAAGTAATGGGTGATACAGCAGACTGTCCATTAAGTAGTGTGATACCGAGGATGACGTCCATAATTAAACCAGAATCACGTTTAATCCGACAGTGGTAAAATATAAGTAAGTAATTAATAAAAATATAAAACGTATTACCCATATTAAAACAATTTAAATACTATTAAAAAATTGCTCACATATTTAAGCAGACCAGTTTGGATAATAAGTTAATGTGGTTATGTTAATGAAATCAGCATTCAAAACAGAAGAAAAAAAAGTTTTTCTTTATTTTATTTTTGTGTTTTCTTAGGAGTCAATGGGAAACAGATGTTTAACACTAGAAAGACTGAAACTTAGTATATACCTATATTGCCCCAAAAAGCAGTCAAAATAGCTGCATTGTGAAAAAATAACTAATGTGTAAAAAATTTGTTTAAAATTAATTTTTAATATTTTTTATATTATTTACTTATTAGCAAGTATTAAGAATAAAAAAGTTATATGTTCATATGTTATACAAAAAGTCACAAAATTATAAGTAGCTGTGTCATTATATACATAATTGTTTTTCTAATTGAAATTGAAAAGCAGTCAAAATGACTTACTTAGGCAATCTAGTGTTAATAGAGGCACACTCAACTCATTTTTGTGATTTCGCGATTAATATTTAACGAATGATTTAGCAATGTTTATGTATTCAATATTATGTAACTTTAAATTATAGATTATAGAGGGCAGAAATAGTCCCTAAATATTATAACATCATTTTCTGTCCTTACTGTTATCGCACTTTTTTCCTTCTTCTAGTTTTACTAGAACTTTCCTCTGTTTTGATGATTTACGATATTAATATTTCCATATTTTGGCAACAAACAAACTCATATGTAAGGTCTGAATAATTTACAGCTTAGTTAATCTGTTTCCAGTTAATCAATTATTCGGTTAATCCAGTTGATGGTGTTTATCACCCAGTTGAGAATATATTTTAAATGCTTCGAGATTCTCATTAAATCTGTTACACTGCACAGCTATTAGACTACTTACAAATTCTCAACCAACAGACATATTTACATTGAGTCATTAGGATTTTTGATGCTGGAGACGTCAAAAATGCGCAATCTGGGCCTCTCGAATATGCGCAGAATAGGCTTTCAATTACACCACGAAGGAATGCAGAAAGGAGGGAGAAAATATCTTATAAACTGCACGACAAAGTAGAAAGGCTAAACAATAATTTTGACATAGCTATAGTCAGAAACAAGTTCATTACTTTATATGGTATTTCTCCCGCCTTCCTAGCGTGCCTTCGTAGTGTAGTGGTTCTGCATGCTGGGCCGGTATTCCAGAGGTCCGTGGTTCGATTCCCGGCGAAGGCTCATTTTTCATCTTGGAGCCCACCAGCGGCTGAGCAGTAAAATTGCTGAACACTGGTAGTTCGGTCCGAGGTTCGAATCCCGCGAACGAGCTGGCTGCATGGGCATTTTCGTGGTTTTCCCCATGTGTAACGTGTATACGAGCCAGTTTTCCTTAGAGAGTCCTCCATGAAGGCCTCCCTCCCCTTAGGCAGACAGCCTTAGTGTGCTTTGCCGTAATTAAATAAACCAAACCATTTCTCATCTTGCTGCTTCCAATTAACCTAATGTCTCTACAACATATTTAACAGTAGTTTTTAAGAAAATATACAAGCTTTTGAATCAATAAACATCATTTTTTAATTACGACAAAAATCTTAATATCATATTTAATCAAACAAATACACAGTCATACTGAATGCACATCTAAAAGTGTACATGGATGATTCAAAGAAATTGTAAAATGCATTTTTGCCATCATCTGTACTGTGAGTTTGTAATACCATGCCTAAAATTCCGTTTACTTTAATTTTCGTGTGTATGTTTAAATGTTTTGTAAATTAATTTTTGGTTTCATTAACGTTAAAAATTGTTTACCATATTAGTTAATAATATTTTCCTCTTCACATGACATATCTTAAGCTGAAAGGCATGTTTTTTCAGCTTCAGAAATGTTTCGTCGAAAAGCTCTTCCTTACAGAAAATGCAGAAACACACACATTAAAAGCAAAAATATGAATTTAAAACAAATTACCTCTGCAATGTAATGAAAAAGGGAATCCAACTTACATCTTCTGAAGCCATTATTCTTGTCACAAATTAGAAGACATGTAGAATACTGATCTTTGAAAGTCTGGTAATAAATGTTATCCATATAATTTGGACATCTGGATCCGAAGTCGACCACACATTTCACGTATGGCAATGTATCCCTGTACTTCGGAAAAGACAAAAAAGAAAAAGAAAAAAAAAAGAGTAGGATTAAATGTTTAGTTCTATTTATTATATATAGTTCTATTTGAATTTATCTTTCATTTTTCAGTGCATTTGAATCAGTTCTGCAAATGAAGCATTTTATGTTTTAAATTGAAGATTTGGACGTAGAACAAAACTTCAATAACCCAGCTCGATCTTGAGCCATGATAAATTTTGAGAAAAATGCATTTTAAGCTCAAATTATTGCACTTATAAGAATATACTAAAATACTTAACGCTCATTACATTTAGAAATTATATCCTCTCAATAAACACATTTAGTTATTGCGTTTTCTCTGTGAGCCAATTCATTATTTTCACCGACAGTTTTTATATTTTACAGTGGAGAATGCCCGGATTCGCTAATTCGCTTCTCTACAACTCTGAGTTTTTCTTTTAAAATTACATTAAATCAAGATTTTTCAAAGTCAATCTCAATAATAAGCTCCATGATGAATAACAAAATTTTTGAAAATCCTTTAGTAACCTTTTAAAACTTCTGCTGAATTGTATGACAGCCATTATGTCCAAAATTTAGAGTTTTTATTCAGAAAAAGTGTTCAGAAATTTATTAGTTCAGTCTATTCAGAAAAGTTGAACATTCATAGAATATCATTGAAACTCTTGTTTGCTTTCTGCGTTCGATCGTGCAAAGATGTTAGCAATAAATTTTGTTAACACAGATGACAAGTGACAGGTGAAAGCAGATCCGGACACCCCGGGGGGGCTTGCATAGACTAATCGGGCATCGTCTAGATCCCGCAACTATCTGAAGCTACACTCCGAAATCAATACAAGGGCAAAGTATAGATTTTTCCCATGCGAAATCAAACATTCTTCTAGTTACATCGCATGTTAACACATTGCTACACATGCTCACTACACTATACATTTTATAATATACATTGCATCGATCATTGCACTGTACTTGAGCACAATTACAACTCAATGCTACACTTAATACACTGTATATTCTTTGTAACATATTACGCTGAATATTATTCTTGATAATTCAACACGGATTCTAAATAATGTAATTGATTAAATAAGACATAACTTGATTATATAGTACATAACTTGGCTATATAAGACAGACTTAAATAAATAACTTGATACAACGGTCTTAAATAAAGAGCAAAATTACACATTACGAACAAATTATACAATTACACACAAAAACCACATTGTTTACTTTTTGCTATACTTATAATATGCAAAATACAGATAACAGATTTGAGGACACAGTACAGCCCATGCTACTTGATAAAATAACATGATGCTAAAATTTCACTTTGGCATAAATTTTGCTGTAATCTTAAAACATATCAAAACTATTTTTGTAATTAAACATTCTACTGGTCACATTGCACGTTAACACATTTCTATATATAAAACGTTCAGTACACTAGAATGCTTTATAATAACTTTGAACACTGCACTATATTTAAGACACCTTACAAAACTCATTTCTCCACTAGCAGGATATGATGATTGAGTACCCTAATCCCCAGTTGCCCTTTAAAAGGGGGAGTATACAAGGTATTTCTCCTGCCTTCTTAGCATGCCTTCGTGGTGTAATGCCAAGGTAGCACGCTCTGCGCGTATTCGAGAGGTCCAAATTTCGACTTATAAATTTCGACGATTTATACATTTGTCACAAATTCACTAACACAGCGGACAACTCAACTTACGTTTCTGATATTTTCAAAAGAAAATATCAGAAACGTAACAAACTGCGATCCCCAACTTATCCAAAACGAAAAAAGACTAGGACAATCTTCCATAATTCTAACTGGTAGGTGTTCATTTGTGGAACCTTCCCTCTAGTATTTATCACTATATGTATTTGGAACTTTGTTTTCGTCATTTTATATATTCTGAACTTTAGCCATAGGTGGCAAAGAATTTACTTTTTGCAGAACTTTTCCTGTTTTCTGGTGACATGTACTTTGTTTTCTGCTTCCTGAAAAATATATTTAAAATTATGCATTTGTATTTCGCCATATAGCCGATGCAAATTGCAAATAAGCTTTACTATTGAGATCGCATCTCGTAATATAGTGGCCAGAACATGCTTTAATAATTGTTCGCGTATTTCCTTTTCTACGTTTTACTACTGTGCTAGTATGTAGCCTTTTTTCACTCACTGAAGTTATGATGATTGAAGTAGGACGAAGGGTTTTAGAGATGTAGTAAGCCAGAGAAGCTTGTCCCCATCTTCCTAACCGTTTTCCTCCACCACCTTTTGTAGCCAGCTCATTTTGGGAACAATTCATAAAAGATAGAACTAGGCAGTTTTTGTCTCTCTAAAAAGCTTTTAATTTTTTCTATATTTTATTTTACAGAAAATATTATAATTTATAATTTTTTGCCATCTTTAAAATATCCAGATAACATTCGTAACGTTCAAACTGTAAATGAACTGGAAGTAGTGAAGAAGAATTTTATATGGACGTGCATGGAAATGAAAAATTAGATTGCGGAAGAAATAGTGAAATGCAATTATAAAGCAGAAGGAGAAGCAAATGCTGTTAAATCTGCTAGTGAAATCATAATCCATAATCTTGTAAAAGAACAACAGTATCTTTACCGACGAGTTCAAACAGCAGCGAAGATGAGAATGTATCTAGCAGGAAAAGTTTCGGCCATTGAACGAGACCACCATTCACTATTGAAGATTGGTGTTTATTATTATTTTAGAATAGTTTAATTTATTTTATGAACATTTGACAGATACAAATTTGTGTAAACCTATTAGATAGGACTGTACACCTAAAGAACTGCATGTAGAGAAAAGTTAAAAAAAAAAATTCTCACTCATCCAGCAAGTTGAGGTGTATTACGTTTTCCCAGAAGTATTTTCTTTTCGATGGAACAAGAAAAACAATTCCGAAGAAAGAAATCACCATAAATATAAATACGAGTGAAAAGGCTTAATGCGAACTAACAGCCCTCAGGGGTTAGGACTTGTCTTTAAAAATGCATTTAATTCAATTCAATACTTTGATCTACATATGGTTATTGAATTTAGATATGATCATCCGTTCAACACGAGGTGTGACACACAAAAGACGAGACCAAGTGTGTAGCTTGAAAACAGAGTGGAGTTGGCAAAAACTGTTTGGGTGACGTCATGCCGCACACCTCCTCTATCTATGCGGACAGTTTCGACTTAACCGACCATGCCAGTGACGAGCACTGCGTCCTTGAGTGAAAACGTGCAACTGCATTCTACCGGAAGAATGTCTAATGTAAAAACCGAACAGCGAATCAACATCAAGTTTCTTGTGCAACTTAAGAAATCAGCCACGAAGGAAACATTTAAAATGTTAGTCGAGACTTATGGAGATGAAAATTTGTCTCCTGCACGTGAATGACATAAGCGGTTTTCAGGGGAAAGGGCCAGTGTGAAAGATGATGAACGTGCTGAATGCTCCCTTGGACCCCCAGCACGTTCATCATGAATGAATGGGTTCCCAGTGGTGAGACTGTTAATTAACACTACTACATTAAAGTACTAAAAAGACTTCGTGAAAAAAAATTAGAAAAAAAAACCGCATCTGTGGAGTGATCGATGGTTGTTGCACCAGGACAATCACCCTCTCACATAGCCCTAACTGTTAAGCAATTTCTGACCGACAAAAAAATTACTGTGATAGGGTATCCTCCTTATTCACCTGATTTGGCTCCATCGACTTTTTTATTTCCTCAAGTTAAATCTTACTTAAAGGGAACCCATTTTACCTCAGCTGAAGAGGTTCGGGTAAAAACGGAGAATCTCCTGAAGGGCGTTCCGCAAACCTCGTTCCAGAACTGTTACTAGCAATGGCAGCACCGAATGCAGAAGTGTGTGAATGCTGAAGGATAATGTCAGGGAGATCTGATTCTGTAAGTACAATGATTTAGAGGACCAGTCTCGTTTTAGTTTTGTATCACACCTTGTATAATACTTAGTAAGCATTTAAATTCGTATTACTTCTTCATGATTGTAAATATTCATATGTTGAAAAGAAAGCAAATAAACTCACTCGCATTGTTTTTCCAAGTTTTCCTCATTTTCTGCAAGTGGTTTATTATCAAAACGAAGTATATCTTTCCCAGTCAGGTGATCAGCGCAGGCCATGGTCCCATACAGCGGACATGTTTCATCCGAACCGTTTGCAGCCGAAAACACTGGAAAAAGTCTTACACATAATTATTTTAAATCTATCAACAAATTATCTAGTTTCAAAGCTGGTATTTTAACAAGTATTGCATTCAAAAGCAACTAAGAATTTAGATTCAAAGAAAAAAAATCACAATGCCAAAATTTTGCAAACGTTTTGAAAAAAAAAATTCATAAAATAAATTTACATTGTAAGACTTTCAAACATGCATGTGATGAAATGCTGTTTGGCGATGTAGAACATGATAATTGAATGGAAATCTTGCTGTGTTATGGCCGGACGAAAGATTGCGTGTTCACAGGTCAGAAGTCAGCAAGGGTACATGGAACATAGAATGGTTCATATTTTCGAATTTCCAATTATGGTCTTAAAGCATAGGGCAGATTGTATAGGTTTGGAACATATAAGCCGAAATAGTAACTCCTCTTTTTATTTTAGCCTTAGGGTAAAATAAAAAGAGTTTATTTCTCTTCTTTCTCGATAAGCCAGACTACATTTTTCCAATACATTTCGAAATTTGCCTGGTAGAAAATTTTAGTGCAATTGCAGAACTCAGAATGTAAATTAGGGTTTTAACCATTGTTTATCGGAACGCTTACCTCAAACTGTTTTTGTCTCAATAACTACTTTGATAGTAGGTGTTTAAGATTATGAAATTTGTTTTAACAATAAGGCTTACAACCGAGCAAAAGTTCTAAAACATTTGGGAATTGAACCGAGCCATATTATGAAATATTCATTGAAAACAGTTCATGAGGCATGAGTTCGAGAAGCATCCTTAAGTTTCTAAAATCTCTCTAAATCAGCCAGAGAGAAAAATAAAATGATAACAGAGAAAAATTGATGCAGAAATGTTAAAATGATTTTGGTGCTGGAAGGTTTTAAAATAGTACATTTTGAGTACTGTGGTTATGTGTACAGTATTTTTGTCTGTTCCTCAAAATGTGTTTTTTCAATACTAGGGTATATTTTTTCAAAATATCAATTTAAGGTAAAGCCTTTAAACTTTCCCAAATAGTGCAATTAACTTGTTTCTTTAAAAATACCTAATATGATATATCTAAATGGAAAATTTTTGAAAATAATGTAAAAATGTTCTTAAATGTTTGGGGGATTTTCCAAATTTTTTAGAACAATATTTCTAATTTAATTTTTTTAACCAAAATGAAAATTGCTTCTTATTATTCTCAAATAGTATGTCTTCTGCTACCATACCAAATTTTAAGGGGATAAACTAAATAGTTGTTATAGAAATGTGTACCGAACAGAGATATTGTTAAAAAAATTTCATATTGTAGTGCTTCCCTTAGTTTGATTAGCCAATTATTCTAATTTTTGTTATCTTCGCTGAACTTCTCAACTTCCCCTCGCATTTCCTTGCTAGGATGGAAATTAAAATTAAGTAAAGACAGTATAAAACCGGACGAAACTAGAAGTTTATTCAGAGTGTGATTTCGCTAACCTAGCCTACGTTGCTATTTTGTCCTTGCTGCTACGCTCAGTTGCTGATACGCCTTTTGACAGTTTACTAAGTCGGTCTCCGGGTAGGTTGTTGAGTGAGTCTGGTTAGACTTAAACTAAACTGTTAGTCCAGCACTACTACTTATCTTTGAATTTATTGTTAAATTATCAAGTTTCCATCTATCAACAAGTTATCTAGTCGTCGGTGTTATTGTGAGCATGAAGTAAGTACGTGCATTCGTGTTTAGAGTTTGCCGAATAATAAAGGGTTTATTTTATTCTTCTTCTGCGCTGGTATTATTCATGCCTGTGCAAGAAGTCACGAGATTTCCTAGTAAGATCACTCTACCTGTATGATAGCAAAGAAGGTTTGATCTTACAATATAGCTGTATAAAAAGTTATTTAGCTCTTGCAAAATAATTTATGCAGATTATTAAATTCTTTTTAAATATAAGCTGAAATGTATAGATTTACTGTGAAAAAATCTCAGTTACATTTGTATTTTTAAATAAAATACATATTTTTGGAACTTTTGCAAAACCTGATTCATTCCTTTGTCAAGATGTTCCGTGTACCCTTAAAAAGAGTGCAAAAATGATCATACTGACTCTAAATTAAAAATAGCAAAATTACAGTCCTGTTGATTATGATGCTGATTCTAAATTAAAAATAGCAAAATTACAGTCCTGTTGATTATGATGCTGATTCTAAATTAAAAATAGCAAAATTACAGTCCTGTTGATTATGATGCTGATTCTAAATTAAAAATAGCAAAATTACAGTCCTTTTGATTATGATGCTAAATTCAAATTAAAATTAAAAATAGCAAAAATTATGTCGTATGCTTTTCCTTTGGTTGGGGTCAAATGTTTAAACAATAAATTGATTTTTTTTTAATTTATGAAAATGCGTATTAATTATTTATAATAATTCTCTTTCAGACACCGAACACATATAGTAAAGTTGCGTTATATAAGATTCTTACATAACCTTTGTTATATAAGATTATTATATAACGCAGGTGAAGCGTGTAGTACTGAAAAATATTTAAACCCAAAAATAACTTTAAATTAATCAGTCGTAATTAAGTGATACTATGTTGTTGTTACTATTAATGATACTTCTATAATAACGGCGCTATTCTTATTCTAATATCACGTTATCGCTGTAAAGAACTTAAAGGAAAATGTATTTTAAGACACTTTCCTTTTCTTTCTAATTTCAACTTCTTATAGGAATGTAAATTTAAATGACGTTTATGCAAATCTAAATGAGTTCGAAATTAGTATTTCTGTAGCAGAATCTAAGAGTTCAGAAGGAGAGTAAGTTCTGGAATTAATGCTGCGGGTTTGAATGTAGCTCTGTAACTGAAAATATTTTGCGCTTAGCCACACACTTTAATTTATATTGATATTCTAGACTCAGCTTTGCTGTTGCATAGCCGATTAAGCGGTTTATATTGAATAGGAGCCAGCCGTGTAGCTAAAATTTTATTCATTGTGATTGTACATACTATTTTGTGTTCAAGTAACTTAGCCCAAGTGGTGTTTATTTGTGAGCACCGAGTGCTTGCATGTTCTGTTCGGTTTAGTAAAATAAAAAGATTGTTATAACCTTCGTCGTCTGCAGTCGTCTGTTTTCTTTCAAGACACAGCGAAAATTCGCTACTTCGTCTTCAGTAGGATCTACAGTTTATACTATCACAAAGAACAAAAGAAGACTCTACAACACCAGCTTCTCTCTTTCCATGCCTACGTCTGTCCTGCTTCCAAATGTTATGCTGAGTACACTGCCTCTTGTTTTTGAAGAACTATTGCTGTGACTATGTGATCATGTATATCTGTAGTGATCGAATAATTGGTTCCTTAATTTTGGTATGTGTATTTACTTGAAAACTGCTTCGTTAAAATAAAGAAATAATATCTCAAACAGGCATAACACTTTTCCTTCTTTATGCGCCAGCTGGCACGCCATCTTCTATGTCAAACCCAAAATTTTCTTCCACTGACCTACAAATTTGTAGGGTACAATGCCTACAAATTTTGTTCACTTCCACTGACCATCCATAGTAAAATATCACATGTGGTAAAACGGTGAGTCCCAAACATGAAAAAAAGTATCTTAAATATCAACTTGCTGTTTTAAGAGTCAGTTACAATTATTTGGCATTACAAATGTTTTTATCTTTTTCTTCTACGTTTTGAACGAATTATTATGTTAGATCAATCTTTCTCTTGTGAGCAAGATATGTTAAGAAACAAAACATCCAAGATAGATCAACATTTAAATCCAGTTGCTTTAAATGGTGTAAAAATATGTATGGAAATGTAAAACTGGTTCTGAAAATGAAACACGACGTTCTCACAAATTTCTTGCATTAAGAAAACATGTGTTCGCACCTTCACAAAGCTGATTACTTTGTGCGCTTGCAATATTTATTGTAAATAAGGATTTGATGAATATCGCAAATAAAAGTATGATATGATTCTCTTATACAATGAGCAACAAGGATAGATATATGGTATCAGTCCATCTTATATGGAGGTTAGTCGACATTTCATGCTGAAAGTTATTTATTGAAACAACTTAATAAATTGCTATCTGCCTTTAACAAATATGCTTTCATGGTTTACTTCCTGAGAAAAGCCTTCTTGCTTATATGTTATACGTAAGAAAAATTCCAAAAAATCTCTCGAAGACAGCTGTTTCGGTTATCGAGAACTGAACACGAGAATAACTTATGTGATTCGAATTCCCATGTATTCGGCCGCTGAAAGTACTGGTTCCGGAAGAAAAGGAAAGTGAAACCTGAATCCTATGTTAATATCTGTGTAGCAAGTATAAAATTATGAATAGGATTAAAGTACCGTTATTAAGATTATAACCTCATACAATGTTGTATTTTAAGATAAGCAGTTTTGCTGCATAGCGTTAAAGAAAAATAGAAATCAAAACTTTTAGAAGTTAATACGTAATTGTGGCATAAGTTAAGTGAAGCTACGAGTAATAAATTAACAAACAAATATTAGTTAGTATTAGAAAGCTTGAAAACATTATTAATATAAATCACTTACCGGCAGCCACAAGGGCTATTGTAACATAAAATAGCATCTTGAATGAAAACAACTACCAGATTATGGAAATTCGGCAGTAAGTAGAAAAAATAAGCTCAACAGTTAATATATTGAGTTTTATCAAGAGAGAAATAAAAAAAGGCAAAATTTCTCACAAATTCACGCCAGATGTGAATTATTTCATCGGGTTCATAAGTATTTCACATCTGGAGTTAAGATAACACTGTTTTTAATTTGCAGATTACGTAATTCTTAGATCACACCTCAATAAGTAATGTCTGAACTTAACGAAAATACGTAATTTGCTTACTTTTTATCAGGGGAAAAATTAAAATGCGAAGCTATTCTTTGGAATAATAAAATAAATATGCTAATAAATAATTTATTAATTTAATTTAGAAATTAAATAACTATTTGTCGGAAGGTAAAGAAATATACTGCATAAGAACGAAACTGCTTAAATCATTTCAACCATTGGCTGAATGATTTCTTCTTAATTTATCATTTTTTAATACTTCTCTAAATTTTTATGGGAAAAAGACCATAAAATGTCCCTGGAAGAAACATTCCAGCCGATTATAGAAAAATCAATCGCAGTTTTACCAGTGCATACCAGGGTTAACAAAAAACTCATTTCAAACTGTAATTTCAAGATAATTTCAAAATTTCAAGAGAATTTCAATAATAAAATTTCAAGAGAAAATTTATTTAGATTGTAACACAGCCTTCAAATTCGTTATAAAACAGGAAATTTGTAGCATAACACAGGAAGGAATTCAATGTAAATCGAATTAAATGTAAATATGTAAGGTATTTTGTAGCTCCTCACCGCGTGCGCTGGTGGTATATTTACAAAGTACGTCTGTCTAACATCGGAAGGTCCAGAATTTGAATACCGGTCATCGCTAATTTTTCATACCTTCTGCTTTGATAAACCTAACGACTCTAATAAAAAAGATTTCTGCAGAGCACTTATTCTAGATTCGCAGATGAAGATACAAAACACTAGATTTCGTATGAAAGTATCTATGGTGCAGAAAAGAATCGCGTATTTTTCTGTTTCATACACTGGTTGCACTTTCATGGGAAAGAAAAGCGAGACTTCGGCAGAAGCAGCATTGTGAACTCATGGAATTGCGCTATGTAAAAAAATATACTACAAAAGCTTCATGCAAATTCCATCAGTTCTAAAGGTTATAAGGAAGCTAAACAAGAACTGATTTTATTGTTCCAAAAGCAATCGTAATGATTTAGCAGAAGCCATTCAGTGATGCTAATCTTACAATGTGGATTGCAGAAAGGACTTGATTCTTCATGAGACACAGATTATCGAAAATTACAACCCTACGGTTTTACACAACTAGCAATATCCCAGCCGAAAGCATTGAACTAATACAGTCCATGCACGCAGTGCCAGGGTTGCGAGAATGTAGCTCTTTTTTACAATACCATTTGCAAATGGTATTCCAGCAGATTTGGTGATGAATGTGAAACAGTTGTTTAAGATAATTTTGGAAATCCGCTCTATTCTCTCATTGTTTTCTATTAACGAGACCTCGAAGCTATAGGATCTATCGGAATAATTCCTATACACCGAATGGTTGGGGGGGGAGACATCATGATAAAAGTACGAGCTTTCTTTTCTGTTTAATTTGTTACTTTTCCTTAGGAAGCTACTGCTCAATGTAAATATATCGATATCTCTTGCTTTCCGATCTTTGCACAATATTTTACCGCTTTATTCTGTTCTCCATCTCTCAGGATATGGTATCATGTTGAAATCTCCATGTTTTTATTGAACATTTTCGAGATCTGGTAACGCTTGCAATATCTATGACATAAATTTAAGTATATTGCATATAATATTCAAGTCAGAATTTTTTTAAGACCCAAAAACTGTTATAGCCAGAAACTCGCAACTGCCGTAGCCAGGCCCTTGGTGTTAGATTCTCTCAGCTGACGTGTACTCACTTGTACTCAACCAAATACAAAATGAAATTACCCTTCTGCATTCCGAGTACTGGAGACATCATTTAGTACCTCCCGAAGTATCTTAGTACTGACAGTTAGTGCACTCGTGTCCGTAAATTTGAAGTGTTAAACTGTGGTTCATTTTCACTTGCTTGTATCCTTCAGATTCAAGGTAGCTCTAGGCTTTCTAGCAGTCTGAATTCACAATTGATCCAGCAACAAAGACTCGACACTCAACTAACTTTTCCATTAACTATTCTATACACAAATTTATCTGTACGTCTTTAAAAAACTCCAGTTTCCTATTTCCCTGCACGTTTATGATAATTTTGCTTAACAAGTTTATTTTCGTCAATTTCCTCAATTACACCAAACACCACATTCTCTTTTGAGCAAATTTCTATGCATACTTCCCTGCAGATCTCTTCTGATTCGTGAAAGTCTTTTTATCCACTCCTGATTTCAATCTTATAAAATCATTTCCACACTTACTTAACCACATTTACGTAACTCGCAAAACTCATATTTAATTTATTCTTAACATGCTGGTTTTTGGTTTCTTTCAAACAGACCTCGTAATTCGATTCTCACAATGCCTTGCGTAACTTTAAACATCCACTCACAACTATCTACAAAATCCTTTCGCTTTAGCAATTTCATATTCATTTCACAAATAGGACATTTATACGACCACCTTCCAATCAATGATTTTTCCATACACCACTCAAACACAAACTTTTTGTCTCCAACTCATAAAAAATTTCAAAGTTTCGTCCATACTTCAGGAAACGCCGACATGAGTCATACTGATTAAAGAACTTCTTTCTTCGTTTTGAGAAGTTACGATTACAAATTTTAAATCATTCATTCAATGTTTTCAATCGTTAGATAAATGTTAATAATGTTTTTTTTGAGCTTTAGCTGTATTAAATGGTAACTGTATCACATATTCCACAAAAAAATGGATTTATAATTAAAGTATGATGCAGTAATATTTTAACTCATTTAAAATATAACTTACATTTAATTCAAGTATGAAGCTATATGCTTCAGACAATGATCAAATCAATATTTCATGTAAATTCAGTTAAAGCATAACTGCAGCATGTTTCTAATAACAGCAGTAGCAGTAAAATTATAAAAGGCGTATGGAATCCTAAGACAAGTTGATAACATCTACGATTTGTGTAGTGTTTTGCAATTTTTAGCCACTTATAATTATGCATAATAAAACATTTATCATAAGAAGAATATAGCGATTATGGTTCCATGACAAAAAAAAAAAAAAAAAAAAAAAAAAAAAAAAGGGGGAAGCGTAATAAACTGCTGTGAACATTTAAAACTTAAATTTTAGTATAAATATAAATATTCTTTCTTACAATCTCATTCTTATACCAACTTTTGTTAGTTACTAGAGACGTTATCGACAGTTGTAATTGTTGTTAAAATTGAAATGCGCTATTATTATCTAGTTTTTTAACGTAATCTACGTGAAGGAGTATATTGTTATTTATCAGTTCTGAACCTACTGATGTTTACTAGTGGGAGGAAACCTACTATACTGATATAAACTCGATTCAATTCAGTTAGCCTTTTATCAGCGTATGTGAATGATAATACTTTATTTTATTCAGTACCCAAAACATCAATGCTAGTAGAAACACGTGAAAAATAGGGAAAAATTTCTGAAGGTCATAATAACCCATCAAGGTCATAATGAATCTATCAATTTATAGCGCTTTAAGTGAAATCATATTAAATATATAAAAGAAGTAATAGGAATACCTAATATCAAGCCCGTTTCGAGCGCTTGTGGCGCTATAGATGATCATAGCATTTAGCCTCATGTAGAAATAAAATATATGGATAATTTAGAAGGAATATATATATATAGGGTGTCCCATTCGAAAGACAAAAGTGGGATAAAAATCTTGTAAAAAGAGGAAATGAAACCAAATTGTTACTTAACATACCTTTATGTTTGAGAAATGAAAGTACTTTATAAGAAGTACTGGAAGTGATTTCCATCCATCTGTACATACAGTTCAACATGGCGCTGCATGTTCGCATATGTTGCTGCCAGAGTATTGGTAGTCACTGCCAGGATCTCACGGCGGATGTTCTGAAATAACTCGTCGATGGTGCGTGGTTTCTGCTTGTACACATTACCTTTAAGGTACTCCTATAGAAAAAAGTCAAGAAGGGTCAAGTCTGGTGAACTCTGGCGACATAAACCTTTGGATATCGACTTCACCGCCGCCACCGTACTCGATATAGGTGTGTGGCATACTGCTTCATCTTGCTGGTAACAACCAAGTCTAAGTTCCTTATCATAGAAATTTATGGAGCAGTACGTGGTACGCTTCCCTGGTGACAGCAGTGTCAAAAATGTCGATGATGTGCTGTTGATGTAGAAGAGATGCACAGAACACGCTCACCTTCTGTGAATGAAGGGCTTCTACGACAACTGCATGCTGGTTGTCACTACTCCATAAATGTGCTTTTGATGAGTTCATTTATCCTGGCAAGTGGAAACAGGCTTTATCTCTGTACCACGTGTATTGCAATACTTCTATCCTTTCAGCGATAAATCGCTAAAACAAATGGAAGTACCTTAAGCTTTTATCATGGTCAGTCTGTATCAGTTCATGAACATTCTTGAATACAGTGTTTAGAGGGTTTACTTCTACCACCGTTCCAAAAACAGTCGTTGACATATCCTAAACGAACCACTTCCCCAGAATTTCGCTACATCATGAAAATCAAACAGTACCAGAATAAGCAAATCACACGGTATACAGTAAGCCATGAACTTTAAAAGCCACACTACACTGAAACATGAGACCCACACTCTACTTACCAAACCTCATCGTTGCTACATTATATATACTTACAATGTTGCCATATCAAAGAGTTAAGTCAGAACATAAACCTTGAAATCCAGGCGGTGATGTAATCCACCATGCGAAATCCAGGCTCTGCCAGTAGTAACATACATGAAGATGTAGCTCCGTGTTAAACTGCGTATACCAATGGGGGAGGAAACTTCCAGCAGTTATTGTAATGTCCCAAACATTAAGGTATGTCTTAAAATTTCGTTTAATTTTCTTTTGTTATAATATTATTATCGCACTTTTCCTGGAGACCATTTTGAGTGGGACAATCTGTATATA